TAACTATGTCAAACCGACCCAAACCAACCCGAGTCGGTTCGGTTTGATCGGTTTGGTCGGTTTTTCGGTTTTTTTGCCCACCCCTAAGCATGAATAAGTGAAAAGTAGTTTTAGTTGCATTATTTAAGAACTCTTTGTGATTTGTCGATAATTTTATTATTTGATATGAGTTCGGTAAAGTTATTCAATGTGTTGATTGTTATGTTTGTTTGCCTACATGTTTAGTAGATAGTATTGTTCCGACGAACAACAGTTTGAAGACGTGATATAAGTGCATATTATGCACTTATTTATACTTTCTTTACTTATTTATGAATAATTGAGTGGATATCTACATAATATATGTGTAAATATGATGATTGTAGGTAAATCCTCGATTTTGGATGCAATTGGCATGAAAAAGTTGAAATTAAAGTTAATAGAGAACTACGCTAAATATTTATTTCTCGTGGAATCGACACCTTGATTCACGTCCACATTTTACTAAGACAACACTATCCATATTTGAAGGTGGATGAGATTGATTAATATTGTCTCATTCAAGCTTAGTGATCAACTCAGATATTTTATAATTTATTTATTTTTTGAAACATTGTAATACTAACTGCAAGTTGAGAAAAGAGTTCGCATGATGGCTAAATATTTGTCGTCGTCGTAGACGTTGAAAAGTTGAGCGGTAATGAATTTTAGATTTTGATGAAATTGACAAACTCTTACGTATTATGGAGGAATAAGAATGAATTAGTGATTTTAAATTTGGGCTTTGAGAAAAACCGTGCAAAAAAATTTGAATTTTGGAGAACAAAAAAAAACACTTTGATCAATCCCTCTCTCTAATATCAATACACAGCTGTGGTCAAATATTGAATAGAGGAAGAAGACTGCATACATTGTAAAGTGGGAACTATCAGTGAAAATCAAAGAAAAGATCCAGATAGAAAAGGGGATATTTGGAGATTTGAGACATTTAAATTTAAGGAGAATCATCACTTATCAATGTAGTAACTTTCATTGGTGAGATCCAATCTAAACTTGAGCCAGAAAGGAATGAGTATTATAAAATCAACCTTAGAATGAATACCCGATCATTGGATGCAATTGGCATGAAAATGTTGAAATTAAAGTTAATAGAGAACTGAGCTAAATATTTATTTCTCGTGGAATCGACACCTTGATTCATGTCCACATTTTACTAATTCACGATCAGTACACTTATGGAACAAAAATTGACAACACTATCCATATTTGAAGGTGGATGAGATTGATTAATATTGTCTCATTCAAGCTTAGTGATCAACTCAGATATTTTATAATTTATTTATTTTTTGAAACATTGTAATACTAACAGCAAGTTGAGAAAAGAGTTCGCATGATGGCTAAATATTTGTCGTCGTCGTAGACGTTGAAAAGTTGAGCGGTAATGAATTTTAGATTTTGATGAATTAGTGATTTTAAATTTGGGCTTTGAGAAAAACCGTGCAAAAAAATTTGAATTTTGGAGGAAAAGAAAACACTTTGATCAATCCCTCTCTCTAATATCAATAAACACAGCTGTGGTCAAATATTGAATATGATACAAAATATCCTCAAAGATATTTTTGAAAAGGACTGGTGATTTGACCATGCCGACAAACCACCGTCGTCCATGCAATTGTTATAGGATCGATCGACACTATTTATTTAGTGGTCGACAATTTAAAACCCTGTTTGATTTAATCCAAGCCAAAATTTATCAATGGTGTATAGCGTAAATGGTCGACAATTTAAAACCCTGTTTGATTTAATCTAAGCCAAAATTTATCCATGGTGTATAGGGTAAAACATACCCACCTATCGTAGGTAGGAAATCATTTTCGATCAAAATCAACAATTAATTTTAATCACATATTTTATGAGACTCGTAAATTTTCAACCACACATTTCATCAATATTTATCAAAATTTACAAAAAAAATTATTTTTAATCCCCTTCGAACAAGGTCTAAATATCAATATTACTTGCTCTCAGGGCACATCTCCAAGTGATAAAACGGAAAGGTGGAAAAACTCTTAACTTTGCTTGAAACTGTTGCGTCAAGGATTTGAATCCTGAAATATGGATTTAGCTCTTGGATAAGTGCAAATGTACAAGCAACCTTCCACCCTATACCCTTAAAGACATAATCTGCGATTTACCTCATTCACCAAAACCTAGGACATGACAATTGGGAGCCGTTAAGGATGCGCTCATCCTTAAATATCAATATTACTTGAAATGCTTCTGACATTGATGTGAGAAGCTCAAAGGACTCACCAAATGCAACTACTGGCACCCAACATTTTTGAAGTTTTGAGTGTGACGAAGGACAACACAATAAAATGAAAAATTCTTAAATTAACTCAAATTTGCATGCCAACACAATAAGCTAAAATCAGATTTTGATTACATATAAATAATAATATTTGAGCTTGCCATATTTTATTACACAAAAAGAAGTACTGAACTCCTCGAAGAAGTTTTATTACATTCCACAGTTCACATTTACATATGATCATTGCCTATTCTTTACTTGTATAACTTCAGTGTGCTTCAAACTTACAACTGTATATTCATTATTTCCTCCTAGTTCCTTCATACTTCATTGTGTTGTATAATGTGTGTATACCGATTACCGTGCCCTGGTCCCTCAAACGCTCAATGGTTTGTCTTCTACAAAAATATCCAAAAGCGAGATCGCCTGCAATAACAAAAGGAGGATAGAATTTTAATGGCATGTTTGTTATGTTAAGCTCGAGAATATACGATAGGGTTAAGTTAAAATCCCGTTTATTATCCTCTATCAAAATTGTAGTGTGTACCAAACATACCCGATTAGGTTAAGGAACAATGATAAGTTATTAAGAAAGTTACATAACGTGTAGTAAGAAATATTCATTTCGATTCCATGAGATTTAGTTTTGTTGAAGCAACGGATTCTTGACAAAGGAGACGTGCAAATACCTCGGGAACATTTAATTCGAGGCGAAACTTAGGACCATCATAGTGGTGAAGAATTGGCCTAAAAGAGTCTTCTTCCAAAGGCTCGCAGACTTTTCTTGTAATCACACGCACCTGCAAACAAACATATCTGTAAATCTCAAAATCATTCCAGTAACCAAAGATCATTCAAAACAATTAAACTGAAATTATTATCCTCGTTTTCAGCTAATATAACGTTTCATTCAACTCAATTTATTTTGCACAATTTCTTTATAGTGCAAGGAAGGATGAGAATAAACAACATTATCAACATCCATCCATTTCTATATAAGCTCGGGCATTGTATATAGTAGGGATTAGGGAAACTTAATACATGTTTGAATGCCTGAAAAAACCCTAACCCAAATACACCTAAAAAATTTATGGCAACGAGAATAGAACAGGCAGGCTCCACATATTCCAACGAATCGTGCACAAAGTTTACCGTATGAATAATGACTAATACACACCTGAGCAGGGAAGCGTGATTCACCAGAGTATTTCTTGTCTTCCCAAGCTGTTGGGTCAATATTTGTGCCACCAAAACCCGCAGCCTGAAAGATTCATATATACGTTTAGAAAGCATGAACAATTTAAGTGAGCTGTGTAACAACCACATAACCTCCAACAGTGCAACAAAAGTAGGTATGATTTGAAAATAACATAGTTTTGTACAAACCTCAAAAACTCCATGAAGTTGGTGAGTTGAGTAGTTGTAGAGAAAGAGAGGTAATCCTGGAGTAATTGCTCGGACTGAATCTCGATAACGGGGAGGCAAGCCTGAAAAAAGAACATTGTAAAACATGTCATTCGGAGCACAGACGAAGATGCAGTCAACGTGAGAGATCCAATATTTGATAGAATTAATCGATGCTAGTTCAAATTGACTTCAGATAAATATGCTTCTCTTCTTAATCAATTCCGAACTACCAATAGTCTTTGTATAACATTATAGTCAGAGTCATAATTACATATCCAGTAGATAATTTACACGATACAAAGTACTAGATTGCATAAATCGATTGCTTGGGATATTGTACTCTGTTTCATTTCATGATCATGAAACAAATGTTCTTAATAAACAACAGAACCATTAACACAACCAATTAACACATCATATCATTGAAACCATTTTCTGTAAAAACAAAATATGCAATTATATCTAAGAACTCTTTCATATTCCAAACTTAGTAATAAAAAAGAAACCAATTTCGAACCAAAAAGGAAAAAAAAAAGTCCAGACGAACATCAATAAAACGCCCAGGACTCCCAAGAATAATGAAAAGATCACAGCTTTCTTATCATTCAAATGTTTTAATAATTTGATTCTCAGATAGGAAAAAAATTCCATAGTCTAAACTAGTCTTCTGCATATCAGATAATCCCATCAAGAACATCATAGTCCAAAGCAATCCTTTAATAGAAACATTAACCAAACATAAACTTGTCGGCATGATCATATTCATTACCGGACAGTCTAATGGACAAAGAGTTCCACTTTTTTAACTACCTTAACACTGTAATCCAACTTATTTATTAACAAACAGTAATAAAACATAGCAACAAAATCAAAGAGAAAGTAACGAATAAATTATGACATACCAAAGAGCTGTCTCTTGAGATTCTCTTGCATCGTATCATTGTTGCACACGAAGATATACCCGCCAACTGTTTCATTTCTAGGCAGAGATTCTGAGGGCGGCAAAGTCTTGAACCTCTTATCAGAAGCACTCTTCTCACCGTTATTGTTATTGTTGCTCTCCTTATTATTCTTATTCTAATACCCGCCGACTGTTTCATTTCTAGGCAGAGATTCTGAGGGCGGCAAAGTCTTGAACCTCTTATCAGAAGCACGCTTCGCACCGTTATTGTTATTGTTGCTCTCCGTATTATTCTTATTCTTCTTTCCACTTTTATTCCCTCCATAGCCATGTTCGTCTTCATTTTTACTACTTTTATCTACCCTCCCGTTCGCCAGAACATTGTTAAGATTCTTACCCTTACTGTAACTGTTAAAATTCAGCGAAGGCGTCGAGTAGATTCCTTTGTTGAAGCCACGGTTCAACCCCACGGATCCGTTCCCAGAATTAGTATTATTACTGTTTAACGCAGCCTTCCATCCATCGTTGCTGAACCCAAAATTGAAGCCATTGAAACCTGACTTGGAATCATCAACTGGGTTGTTGAAGGATGAGTTAATTGAATTGAAAGAATTGATCTCACTGTTCAAACCAACAGGACCATACCCAGAACTATTATTACCTTTCACCCCAGCTTTCAATCCATCGTTGTTGAACCCAAAATTGAAGCTATTGAAATCAGACTTGGAATTATCAACTGGGTTGATTGAATTGAAAGGGTTATTAACCTCATTGGGACCAACCCTTATGTCGAAATTCCGCCTCTGCTCAGTGGGCCGTTTTGTCGAATAGTTGGTGCTCCAAATTGGGTCATTCAAAGAAAGACTTGCCAAATTGCTTCCTTCAAGCCGAATATCATCACTAAATTGCCAGAAAGACGACTGATTTCCATTTTCCATTTCCTCTAACTCTGAGTACAGGAATTAATTATGTATTAACTGAAACGATAATATTATGGGTAAGAAACGAGTCTATGAGTGGGTATATAAGGTAGAAAAGCAGGAAATTTCTAGGAAGTGGAATAGGAGATGGCGTGTAGATTTGGGGAAGGTAGTAATATGCAAGAGAAAAAGAAAGGCAAGAAAAATGGGAGTTTGACAGTGTAGTTTAGGTGAGAGAATGGGAGAGTGGGGACGACATATACACGGTTTGTAGGATAAGATGTGGAGTGAGATATTGGGGGAGTTGAATTTTTGCTCTCTCTCTGTCTCTCTCTCTCTCTCTATATATATATATATATTTGTATTTTTTTATATATGAATCTAGAAATGTAAGAATATGCTCCAATGCGGAGTTCACATGGCGGGTTTGTTTTGCTTAGGTGCTAAGAATAATCTTTGATGGGGATAATTTCATTGTAAGTCACCCAATATGTAGGTTTAGCTTATGTTGATCGTCGAATTCTAATTTATTTCAAAATAGTCACTTGACTTGCTTTTTATTTCGAGTCCACCACTTTGAACTCGATTTGTTTAAATATGGGACCAATGTTTAGTCTGGTCTAATAACTCTTTGTGATTCCATGTCTAGACGTTCGTGTTATGTTTCCATTCGTACAAATAGAATAAAATGCCTAACATTATTATTTTATTCGGGTTGATCATTCTTTTACCTAGGTAAAAACCCCATGCTTAACTGAACCTAAATTGGAGTATGAACCGTAAAAGAAAAATATTGAACATATCACAAGAATACCAGTTACAATACCTATCGGCAAAGAGGAATTCTTCTAGTAGAGTAATATTGGACACTTACCCAATTTCCCTCTTAGGTGGTCATGCTGGAGACATAAAGAATAATGGATAATTTTGAGATGAGGAGCAATCTCGTATTTGATAGTTGACATGGTTAGAAGCTTTGCCTCATGATTTACAAAATATGTAAACTTGCAAGTTCTTTAACTCGATGTGGCTTCACGACTAAGAGTCAGTCTTGTCTTAGAGCTGTGGATTTTAATTATGGTGACAAACGGAATGGTGAACATGAAAAAAAATAATGTAAATTGGTTAATTTTTGGGGGAAAAATTAAATTTGATGACTAACATGAAACAAAACTATAAGTTGGGTGCTAGCAGTGAATTCCCTTTAGCTGTGACTGGGTAATACATATGGAAATAGCTCCGTTCCTTGACAATATCTTCTCATGGGCCCAAATTTAATTCGTATGAAGTTGATTCAAATGGTAATGGTGACACCAAACTAATTTTATTACTATAAAAATATTATAACTTAATAAAGACATAATTACAAAAAATATTATTTCATTTTAAACATTTAATGTGACGTGTCATATATTCTGTCGGTAGATTGAAATCAAACAAAATGTGGCTTTTTAGTTTAAATTTTCATGATAGTTGAGTATAAGTTTTACTCGACAATGATCGAACTCCTTATTTTCTTTATTTATTTTTTGAGACCGAATATAGAATTTGTAAATTTACCTAACAAGGTAGTAGTAATATATGATTGAGTATTTCACTTTCTTGATTGAAAAAATTATTTGTTTTTATATTTGAATTGATATAACAAGAAAAAAGAAATATTCAAACATAATGGAATAATTGAATTGGTTTATGTAACAGAGATATATTGAACATATTGGAAGAATGTGACAACAAATTACGTTGAAAGAGAATTGGCCAACTAATGGATAACAAATGGTCAAGCCTTTGCCACTTCTTGAGGTTTGAATGAGTCAGAAAGCATCAAATTTCTTATCTCTCAAACTTGGAGTTAATTACCGCAATAGTCACTGAACTCTACCGAAAATTTCCACCAGTCACTAAACTTTAAAAACTATGTGGTTAGTCACTGAACTTTCGAAACTGCAATCTTATCCATCACTGAACTTTAAAAATCACCACATTCGTCATTGAATTTTGCAAAAAGTTTCCTAGATGGTCAGTGATCTGTGACCATTTGGGAAACTTTTGGCAAAGTTCAGTGACAAATGAGATGGTTTTTAAGTTCAGTGATGGATGGGGTTGCAGTTTCGAAAGTTCAGTGACTAACCACATAGTTTTTAAAGTTCAGCTATTCGGTGAAAACTTTCAATAAAATTCAGTGACTATTGGGATAATTAACTCCTCAAACTTGTGGCAGAATTGGTGCAGTTTTGACTTGGAAAATCAAACAATTGTTTGCATAAAATGGCTACTTGGACTGCATTGTTTGAAGAATATTGGATAGGAAGAAAATATGTCCTCTCTATATTGGTTAAGAAGAAAATGTGTCCTCTCTGAAGTCGTTAAAAAAATTTAAGTTGAAAGGTATAGTTTTTGACCAGGATGTAATCTTCCACGTAATCTTTTGACTATCTCGAATAAGTTTGATTATTGCCTCCCCCGAGTGATAGTATGTGCCGCTCTTCCTCGAATCATACAGGATTGCATGCTTCAAGGTGTAATTCTTTCACTGTGTCAAGGGCTTCCCTTTTGACAATCAATCCATCTCTCTTTCTCGAATTAGGAAGGATTATGTGTTTCAAAACATAACTCTTTCAATGTAGTAATGACCACTACTTATATGGACACAAACACCTTGATAGTTAATCACGAATGTTTCTGGCCATCATGGTCCAACTTAGGATCTATGACAATGAGCTAGTGGTGACAACAAATCGAGTCGAGCCAACTCACGATCCCAAGTTTGGGGCTCAGTATCGACTCGTCAAAAAAAGGCTCGAGCTTAGCTGGTCCACCAAAAAATGGGCCTTGGCCTGAGGCTTTTGGCTAGGGCCTTAGTCGAGCCAAGCCGATCATGAACTTTTCGACTTTTTTTTACTCGAATATATGAATACTTGATCGTTAATTTACAAACTACAAAATTAATTTTAAAAAGCAGGTCACATGAGCCCACATATGACCTGACCTGTATTTGGGCTCGGTGCGGCTCGTGGAGTGACCCTGGCTCGAGCGAAATCTCATTTTTGAGGTTTGGTCCAGCCTTGGCTCGTACAAATAAGCTCCAATCTAATTTGGTTCGAACTTTTTTCGAGTCAAGCACGAGTTGACGGCCTCGTTTGCCATCAATATAATAAATCAAGCCAACTCCCTGGTCTTAGCTTAGCCTGTCAAAATTCAAGTTTGGCTAGCAATGGGATGATCGACTCCCTGTTACAATTTTTTTCCCAAAATTAATGTGAAATTCTCATTTTAAAATAGTTTTTTAAAAAAATAAAAAATTTGTAATTTGTTTTTAAAAATTAAACTAAATATCATCTTTAAAAATATCTTCTATCTAGGGTCGAGATGAAAAGTTGACATATATTCAAAATTAAAATCGTATATGGATTAAATATTTCATGCAAAATATTTTCCAAGAATATAAAAAAATTAAGAAAATTAATGTAATGTATTTAAAACACACAATTTAATGAACTACAAAATCATCAAGGCCATAAAAATGTTGTAAATCTTCAGCAATTTTGCCTTGTCAACCTTGAATTTGATATTATGCATCTAGCTAGTCCCCTAAACATATTAGAGTTTCAATACATGCTTTTTCAACCTGCATCCATCATCCAACATAACCCCGTTCCCTAAATTAAACAATGTGTTATCATTGACAATATGAGATATTATCATTTATTAAATCACCACCCAGGGGCGGACGCAGACCTTAAAAGTTAGAGGGCACAATCGAACTTGTAAAGAAGTTGGGAGATGTTTTACAATAAAAAATTGATGTCCAAAAAAATTATACCCCATGTAATTTTACATCCGAAAATTTACAGGGAATATGACTTTTTCAGATTTAAATTTCGAAATTTTTTGATATCATAATCCATATAAAATTTCTTAATAAAATAATGAAAATTATATTGAGAATTTTGTATCGCAAAAATAATAAATATTAATGAATAATTGAATTTTTTTAAAAAATGCGAGTTAGACGTCTTTTTTTAAGACTCACGTTTAACGTATTTTTAACTATTTTCGATATCTGTTTGGACTATTCGATATGTCCATAATGTAATTCTCGAAATAAGTTTTGAGATGACATAAGCAATTTGTAGATTCAATTAGCGTACGATCGTCGGAGACTTTTAAAATGAACATGTTATCGAAATTCGACTTTATTGTGATTTTGCCCCTGTTTGGTAGAGATTAAAATAAA